GTACCAATTGTACATTTTTTTTGTTTCAAAAACCAACAAAAATACACTCGTAATTGACAGAAATCATATAAAGGTAGCAAAATTCAAGTTATGATAAAAAGCATAAGCAAAGGTACAATCACAGAGGGTAAAAAAACCAAATGAATAAAAAAATTTGCATAGAAATTAGTTAATAGAATCTACCAGTTCGTTCTAATTTTTCATATCACTTATAATGAATTTATTATGATTTTTAGAAGATCCTGATATATTACCCAAATTTGCAACTCATCTTTTGTTTCTCTGCTTATTTCTCCTTTAGCCATTAAGCACTTGATAGAAGTTCTTATATTCATTAAGGTATGTAATATATAAGTTCTGGAGAAGGATATCCAGAGGGTTTTAGTTCTAAAACACAGTAAGGAGATCAACAATTTTCTTTTCTCTGAAGATAAAAATTATGGGCTTTGGTTTTATATCATTCAAGAGTAAAATGGGAATGTTTTTGTTTTCTCCTGCTAATCCTACCTAATTCCTCTTCCTTTCTTTCATGGAGAAAAGTCGATAATATTTTTAATTTGTTAAATAAGATCTAATAAACTAAAGTTTAAAAACATTTCTTCAATGGGTGGTTGACCATAAATTCAATATTTTTTTTATTACATATTATATATTTTTTTTCGAGTAATTGTATAGCTTTTTCTTTTACTTTGAAAGGCTGAGTACGTGTGATATGCATGTAAAATCCTTAGAGACCTCATTCATATATCTTCGATTTCAACTGTGATTTCACCTGAAAGTGATGAAGAAGATGATTTTGTGATTGGGTTTCAAGCAGACATGAGAGAATCTCAGACGGGTAGATACCCCTGTTGAAAGTATAAAGGGGCCAAAAGCAACTCTAAATTAAGAAAAAGAAATATATCAATTTTTTTGTAAAAGATAGAAATATATCGTTAACTTTTAATGAAAAAGAATGGCCAAACCTGCTAATGAGAGTTGAGATATGTGTATGGCACCAATTCATATACATTTATGTGTGTCCTCACCATAAGCCAATAAAAATAAAAACTTTAAGGCTGTGTTTGGCGCGCCACAGCTAGCTGATAAGCTAGCTTATTTGTCGAGCTTTTTTATGTTGTCGTGTTTGGCAAGCCAAAAAGTAGCTTATAAGCTAGCTTTTTGAAAAGCTACTTAGACTAGCTTTTTAGGACATTTTTAAAAAATTTCCAAATACATCACTAAATTAAGTACAGAAACACATACTCCTACATGTCCTTTTATGTAATTTTATATATTTCAGCTAGCTTTTCAGCTACCTTTTTATTTAACAGCTAGCTTTTCAGCTAACAGCTAGCTTTTCAGCTAGTACTCCAAACATAGCCTAAGTGTAAACATTTACCTAAAGTTCTATTTTTCTGTCTCCTTCGACACCTTTAAAGTCAATGACTAATCCACCTGAAACATTCATCAATCATATGTCTATTTAGTAAGAAACAACAATATATACATATGTATATAAATCACATAATAAATCAAAACAGAAGTGTATAATGTGTAACAAATGACCAAAAACTTTTCAAGTTCCCTTGAAATTCATATAAAGCTATAATCTTCATGTCAAAACTATAGTTCCTAAATGAAGTAGTGAGTTTTTACCCAAATATCAATACCATAAGCGTACATGAATTTTAGTTAATTACATATAAAATAAATAACTATTATAGGGAGGGTTTTCGTAGTTGACGAATAAAGTGACTGAGAAGTTAACTTAAAAAAGATGAGAAGTTAACTTAGAAAAGAACAGAGAAAAGAAGAGAGTTTAGGGAACGATTTATTAGACTATGCAGATAATAAAATATTTGTGGATAAAAAAGAGTAACCCCCCTTGGTAGAAAATCCATTGATGTTGTTCTTAATGGAAAAAACCATGTGATTAAATCACATTTATATAAAAGTTAGGAGTTGATGAATTTCTTTATTAAGTTCTGTCTTTCCGCATTAAGTGAAAAATAAACACTTGTATATGATATTTATAGTTTATTAACTTCATAATGTTAAAACAAACATTAACCATAATTTTCCTTGAATTTGATTCTCAATGCAAAAAGACCAATTTACCCATTAAATTAAGTCATCAATTTATGTCCCATTGCCGAGTAAGTCAAAAAAATAATAACCTTATTTGTCGTTGATGGCTCCGTCTATTGCAAACAGTCGAATACAAACCCAACCCCCGCAAAACGGGGATCCTTCATTAGTTATAATTATATATAAACATTGTACGTCAAAATAAAGACAGACACTTTAAAATGAAGTTCAAAATCTGAAATCAATTTATCTCCCTTTCTAATAAATAAATAGGTTGAATCTCCTTTTGACATGTGTCACTTAAATATAATTATTCCTTCCACATATCAATGAGATATATTAGGCAACACTTCAAATCTCCCTTTCTAATATCTTCTCTCCCTTTCTAATAAATAAATAGGTTGAATCTACTTTTGACATGTGTCATTTAAATACAATTATTCATTCCACATATCAATGAGATATATTAGGCAACACTTCAAAATTCAAATTTACCTTTTCTAATTATATGTTAAATTTGAAACTATAACAACTTAAAATTTTTGATATATTTCTTAGTTAATAATTTATTTAAAATAATTGATTTATAATTATAAATTTTTACTATGAAAGTTGAATTAATTTTATAACTCGTGGTTTCCACGGGTTATAAACTATATTATATATATAACTAAGAAAAGAGGTGCATATCCATATTTCGATCGGATCATATAATTAAAGAAAACAAAGAATAATCAATATCAATATCAATAAGCATTCTATATGAAGAATAAGCATTCTCCTAAACTATGAAACATCATACCAAAAAGAACATAACATTGGTGTGTGGTTAGAGAAAAACATACACAAACGAACAGATGAAGGTAAAGAGGGTCTAGGGCAGACCAGTAAATACCGAAAAAAATGCCCAAATGGTAAATACATATATTAACAAAACATATGAAAATAGATGTTAAAGAAGAACAACCGCATAATACATGTGTAACATACGTGTTATGTAACAAATATAACTAAAAAGTTAAACACGGTATGTTGTATATTATAAAGTCTAAATAAAATTGATTTTCATCAACTCTACAAGCTCACATCAACTAGACTCAACCCATTCAGGGCCAGTCCATTGGTTTTCCATGCCCTGGGCGAAGATGCTTAATTATGCCCGTTTATTTGTACCAATCCTATATAAATTTATGTTTATAAAAAACAATTATTAAGAAGTTAGATTGAAGTCCCAAAGAATAGTCCACAAATATGATTATTGGACAGGATGTTTGGTATAATTTAAGAGTTCCCTTTTTCTAGTTCTAGCCTAAAACCATTCATCAATACTTTTCTAGATGTCCATATAACGAATATGGATCTTCAATCACCACAATGTCATTTATTTAAGAAACTTAAATAAAAACAATAATTTTGTATTTCGCTGAATTACCATCATTTTACATTAGGTTCTTCTATCTTCACATTTGTTTGTAAATTTTCTGTTAGCAATTGTTTTGTCAATAAACAACAGTTATGAATTTCACAATTGCTTGACTTGAACATAAGCAATTGTTCTTTCAGCAATTTGTATCAGTAAAAAATTCCCTTGAATGTTCAACAATCAACAACTTTGTCTTATGCTACTAAAAATCTGCAAAAACAACAATCAAGTTTCTCAAATGGAATCCCAAACAAAAGCTATAACTTGGGGAAGGCTGATTGAATATTTTTCAAACAAAAGCTAGTGATTGTATACATCAAATTACTAAACTTGACAAAATAAAATCAATAATTAACACCTGCCATAACTTGGGGAAGGCTGATTGAAGATTTTTCATGTTTCAAGTACAAGATGAACATTAACCCAACTTTTAATAGGTTCTAGACTTCACATACACAAATTCCTCGTTCTATGATATGCTAATTCCAGACTTCACATACATACATGTGCTTAAAGAGAACTCAAGTAAAAAAATAAAGGGATCAAGAGAAATCGACATTAATCCAGACAAAAGAAATATATTCAGGCAGTTTTTATCAACATAAATTCGATTGGAGAAAAGAAATCGAGTTCAATAAAAGAAACCAAGTTGTAATCGACATTGATCTGGACAAAAGAAGTAAATCCTCAAAAATTAGTGATATATTTTCTTCAATCCTTCCTTCTGAGATAGATAGAGAATAAGAGGTTGAAGATTGAAGAGTCGACTTTAAGTCTTCGACTCTAAATCATCGAACGGAAGAAAAAAGAATCAGAGAAAAATTAAGTATAAAAGAAAAAAGTGTGCGCTTAAAAGCACTACCTATGCGGCTAGATTTATACCGTTTCCCGGTCTCCTCGGCTTCTCCCCATCTCTTCATCATCAATTGCCGCCTTCATTTTTCAAGTTTTCATCTTTTTTGTTCGCGTTTCCCTTAAATCCCACCTAGGTGGACTGGATTTCTATTACAGTATTATGGATCTAACATTTGGCCCAAACAAAATATACCTATAACAACTTAATAAAATCTGTTGCCCTCATGTGAAATGATGCCCTGGGCTGTGGCCCAGCTCGCCCAGCCCTTGGGCCGGCCCTGAACCCACTGTTAGCGAAGTAAATCAGCTACTCAGTCGTCTGCAACTATCACGTATAGTTAATTTTGATCTCATGTAATCTTGAAGATTAGAAGTTACCTAATTTGTACCAATACTTATTCATTATATACTTGAAAAAAATATATATATACATATACCTCTATTAAATGCCATCATAAAAATTACACACATTAGTATCACCATCCAATCAAAAAAAAAACCTCTAATATCTGAAATTTTGCATAATTTCATATAAAATTCTTAGAATTTTGGATTGGATTCTGAAACTCGGATATCTTTTAATATCCACACCGAATCGAATAAACATAATGTTACATTAATACAACATTCTAACGAAAACTATAAAATGAATATCAAGATTCAGGAGAGGTCATCACTCGTTCCTTATGCTAGCGACAAATAATCTAAGCTCTCTCGCCTTCCTCGCATGCTCCGGCGATACCTCCGTTTCCGACTCACTCAACTCAACCACATCAACACCTCCTCCTCCTCCATGCTTTCTCGAGCAAACAACAGATAACGGACTCAACAAATCAATGATCTCCGTTTCCGTTTCATCTTTCCCCTTCGATTTCTTATCAACCAAAGGCGTCGACAGGTTCACCACCTCCGTCTCCGCCGCGCCACAACTCGGTGTAGTAGTGTTTTCCGTCAATTTCAATTTCCCTTCCCCGCTGTTTGATCTCGTGTTGATCAGTGCTTCATCGAGTAAACGGTATGTGGTTTTCTCATCCTTTTTACTTTCTCTCATTCTCACTTCGTCGACGTTAGATCTGGTGTCGATAAGTGGTTCATCGAGTAATCGGTAACGGAAACTGGTTTTTTCGTTATTTTGATCACTTCCAGTCCTTTTTCCTCCCTCTGATCTCGTGTTGCTAAGTGGTTCATCGAGTAGCCTATAGTTTTGATCGGACGAAGCTGCACCTTCGATTTCGAGCATCAGTTGTTGGAGCTTGGCATCAATTTCGTTTACAGATTTCTTATTAGGTCGTGGATTTCGTGGTTTTGGCTTCTTCTTTTCCGCTATTCTTTCTTCAAACTCCATTATCTTCTCCGGACATGCACTAAACAGCGAAAAATTCGAAGATTCAGATTCATATTCAGTAGTTAACATTGAGATTAGGGTTATGGTTATTAGGTATTACCGTTCCATGAGTTCAGCTGGGACGATAGAGCTGCTAAGTCCATCAACTTCTTTCCATGAAACCTCAAAACATTCTTTTCCCTGAGCTTTCCTTCGCTTAATTATTCCAGAAACCGGACACTTCACTGGCATCTACACACATGATTTGATTGGATTGGTTCGATCATAAGTTCATAAGTCATAATCATCGGTTTATGATTACAATTCAAACTAGATACCTTGTCTAAAGGAAGCTGAACTCCCAAATGAGAAGAAGTGTGACGTAAGTTTGCAAATCGTCTAAGATCTCTTTCAGCAATCTTTGGAAGAATATATTCATCTGAAGTACAACAAATATTCAACAGAACCCCATCATTAGACTTTATATGGAAGAAGAAAGTCCATTAAGTCAAAGTTTGTGAAAAGACAAAACTGACCTGTTTTCTCTGGAGGCCATTGGAAAAATCGAGCACATGTCTGGTGAAGCATGGTCTTTTGAAATGAATGCATACCAAGAACCCTACAACAAAAATTATTCAGTTGGATAAAACTATGAATATATATAGGTCATTTAATATTTATCTAATTATCTCAATAATCAATTTTCTTACGTCATGTTTATTTAAATCTGATTATTTTGACCTATTAAACTAGTATACCTACCTTTGGACAGTTTGAGAGTCGGCAGAGTGGCATTGTGGGGTGAGATATGCATCCATCACTTGCAGAAACTTATAATTCCTTGGTAAATCATTTTTATGTCCTACAAAATAACACATAAAATAAAAAAAGTTAGAATTGATGAATGTTATGAAATTAGTTTTTTGGAATGTAGGGATAAAATGGTCATTTAGACTTTAGTCTTTATATATCTATATATGGATGTTTCTTTTTGACTTTTTTTTTGGAACAACATAAATGTTTCTTTTTTGACTTTGACGACTTTTGGATAATTAAACTTTGAAAATGAAAAATATAATCCATTTATGAAAATAAATCAAATGAATCACATAAATAGATAACTTGTTTACCATTTGAGGGGATGTTCATGTTCTCTTTATTATTGTTGCATCTACTTGCATTTGGTGGAATGTTCTCTTTGTTGTTGTACCCAAGTGTTTGATTCCTTTTCTTGGAACAATTTGCCTTTTTTAAAACCGACAAATCTTCTGTTGCAATTCTTTGAAGAACTTCAGATTCATCAAAAGATTTCACAATCTTACATGCCATTTCCTGTATATTATTTCAAATAAATATTAACAAGTATTCAAATAAAAAACAATTAGCAAATAAACCATATAGGGTTCTTTTCAAACTTACTGAACCAAGCCTAGGGACACCCGGACCATAATCACAACCAAGGAGGACAGCTAAAGCAATCTGAAATATGTTCAATATATAAAATTGTAAGTTTTTAAATAGTTTATAAACATTATTTACAAAAATGTAACATAACTCAACTCACCAATGAGTTTCTTCCTAATCCAAGTTTTCTCTCAATGTCATCCATTTCATAACAAACAACATATCCACCTTCCCCTACATAACATAAACAAATTAGCACTATAGTGAAAAATAAATCGCATATTTATATGATAATTAAAAAATATATATATATATGTATTCCAGTTTCTAACCAAGGCATATATCTCTGTAAACTGTTCTTGCTCCAAAGAGAAAGATATCAGAGTCTAAAGAGAAACATCCATCCTGAAAAATCATTAAAAAAAATATACGCTTTTTTATGACAAAATGATGGTTTTTTATGAGTTTTTTAAATGATAATAGATAAATTTTGCTTACACATAATGACTCTGAGTCCAATAATGCACATTGAGCTTCACCTTCCTCAATTCTGTGTAGCAAGAAAGTAGTACAATAATTTAATTAATTGCATTTATTTATTTATATTTTAAACTTTGTTTCACTTTATATTAATGGGAAAAATAAAAAGAAAGAGGGTGTAACTCTTACCCATCTAAACATGGAACACCTAATGCAGAGGCAAGAATCTTGGCCTCTTTTATCATACAAGAGAATTCAGAGCCCATGTTCCTTTGAAGTGGAATAATTTTGTTTAAATAAGATTCGTCACGACCCTATTATACAAAAAAATAAAATTAAATTAATAATCCAACATTTAAATCATATAGTATTAATTTATTATAGAGAAAGAAATTCCCACCTCATTGTCCAAATGTAAACGCCTTCTATATGTAGTTACTTTGATGCCTGGAATTGATCCATCTGTGCATTACCATAACCCCATTTAAATAAACAATCCAAGAATAATCTAACCAATTACAGCATTTCAATATCAACATACTTTTGTTAATTTGTTTATTATAGCATCCTATTTTTATCTCTTCCTATTTACAATATTATACTTTAAAAAATCTAACACATTACAACAATGTTATGATAAATAGCAATTTTCACTTCTATAATTGAGTAGAACTTCCAAAGTATAATCCCCTAATAAGAAAAAAAAACGAAATTGCAATGCTGTTATACACAAATTAATGAAAGCAAGTTGCTATTTTTGAATTTATCTCAAAAGAAAAGTACCAAAAAATATATATTTAACAGCAAGAATACGATTTGTGAAAACTATCAATTATTCTAAAGAGGAACTCCCATTTACAGATATTTTTCAGAAATTCGCTAATATCCATTTGATTTGAATTGGGCATTAAAACCAGCATCGAAATAGAATTAGGGCACGATACCTGTGACGAAGATGAGGCTGCAATTTAACGCAATGAGAGCCCTAATGCGATGAAATAAACCCTTGAGATAAAGCTTATCTTTCATGGCACAGTGTGATTGGTTTACTTTGTTGAGTTGAACCATCCAACATGATAGATCTACGCAGATTCTCTTGTTTCTGCACTCGATCACCACAGAAAAGGACATAAAATTAGAGCTGTCGATGTATTCAATTGAAAAGGGATTTGGAGAAATTAGCGAGAGAGAAGTTACTGGAGATGGTGAAGAGGGAGGGTTTTCTTGCAAGAATCTAGAATATCCCATAATCCTTTAACTCCCATTTCTTCTCTGCGATTGTGAACTAAGGCGACATTGCTTGTTGTTCTTGGTGCTACTCAGTGCTCAAACTCCCTCGTCGTCTCTTCGGAATCGGAGAGGAGAACGTTAGATTTGAAAAAGAAAGATTGAATCTTACAGTAGATTTTAGAGATTTCAAATTATTAACCCAAAAAATACACTATTTTAATGTTATTTTTATTGTTTTATCAACTTACCCATTTAAACTGTCTGAAATCTGCAGACCGCCTTTGCTGCCCTCTGCAGCAGAAGAGGTGGACCAAAGTGCTGCAGACTGTAATAAGAAACATGTTTTTTTTAACGTCTGCAGACTGCTGCAAAATATTAAAAAAAAAAATTTAATACCAAAAATTTAATAATTGTAGCTATTGCTAAAAATATAAAATTAAAACATCTTTTCAAATAGATAAATGAAAATCATGAAGGGCAAATAGTAGCTATTGCTAAAAATGATGTTATCGAGATTTCATAGTTATATATAGTTATATACATCTAAATATAAATATATATTAAGTTTGGGTACAAACGCCCACATGGATCTACCCGATTGGTTATGGGTGACCCAAACAAAGCCCTAGAATACAAGCATCAATAATTCATCATTCTCCTAATCCCCTCTGTATTCTTGCTGGCAAACAACACTCTCTTCTCCATCTATTTCTATCTCTATATCTCCGATTCCCTTAAACCCTACACAAAAACATCCAAACACCTAGCAATTTCAGGTGTTATATTAAATCAAACGGATTGCCTATGGGTTTGTTACCCAAAGGTGTCATCGTTCAAACTGTATCCAAGGTAATTTAATATTCCAATCCAATCGCCTAACATGCCGGAGGGAGAGGAAGAGGCGTCGGTGGGGGCTGCACCGATGGGGGCTGGGCTGAAAGCATCAGCGAGGTCGACGGGAGGTGGGAGACGAGAGCTTCTCTTGCGATCGATTTCCTGGAAAGAATAGGGGGAGGTCGGCCGCTTTTTTTTTAGGTTTAGGTTAGAAGAGGGTAGAAGCAATTTTCAAGTGTTGTCCCAAGCAGAGGACGGGAAGAGGTTTTTAATTTGGAAGTCTGCGAAAAAACAAACAGCTGCGGGAATGAAAGTGTTGCGCGTGTGCTGCGTCACGCAGCACAAAGAGGTTTGAAGAGGTTTTAAATAAAAAAACAAACAGCACCTAAGTATTTTGAGATATTTATTACCGTTGGAAAGTCATTTTATTGTTTCCAATAGGGTTAATAACTAAAACAGAAATTAAATATCATTTTATTTTTTTATTTTCAATCATACTTTTATTATTTTTAAATGATTACAAATGTAATAAAAATTTATTAATTTTATTAAATAGACAAAATTACAAAAATGGTCCCTGGGGTATGCATTTTTTGGGGGTTTTAGTCCAAACCCCGACTTTTTTGGATTCGTAGCCCTTTTGAGCTAGTTTCATTGCGTTTTTGGTCCCTATAAATAGTGAAATGACTGTAATACCCTTAGGGTATTTATTTTCCATTTTTCTTTCATTTCTTTTTAAATCTAATACTAATTTATTTATTTTAATAATTAAAAAAATAACAAGGGGCCCACATTCTCTCTCTCTCTCTCTCTCTCTCTCTCTCTCTCTCTCTCTCTCTCTCTCTCTCCTCCTGAAGAATTTCATCTTCTTCGTATTCTTCATACATCCCCAAATCAACACCATAACTCTTCTTCTTCTAGAATCAGTACTTATACACTCAAGAGGTTGTTTAGGTATAAATATTACAACATCAGGTAGCGGTGATTTTCGTGGGTAGTGTTCTTTATGTTTTTGAAAATGAAACAGATTAATTAGGTTCAGATTGATAGAGAAGATGATGGGTTGTTTGAAGTGTTCTTGTTGTGATATCGATTTGAGGGGAAAAGCTTTTTATATTCTTCTTACTTCGGCATTAATCCTTCTTGGGAATTTTTGGGGTTTTCCAAAACTAGAAGTGGGTCAGGCTTGGGAGTCTGGTGAGCATATAGGGTTTTCAACCCACAATAATAATAAATTATTAAGTTCACCAATCAACAATAACCCTGATTACTCATTCCCGTTATCCTCACTTTACGTCCCTAAACACCTATCACAAGGGACCTAGCCTAAGGAATATCATCGGGATGGACACTACTGATAAGGGGACTCCTCAGCCGTACATGTCCTAAAGGCAACCATGAGGGGGATGGAGTACGCCAATGAACATTTAGTTCACCAACACCTACAAGTTGCGAACCTGCTAGTGTTCCACTGGACTGTCTAGAAAGGTCCGTGGTCGTCATCTATACTCCGCTAGACGACTACAACAACAACAACAACAACATTGAGGCTTCTCACCATTTTAACACACATCGACTATTTCGTCTACCCATGTTGTACCCAACATATTTGTAGATAAAATACATATACAGTTTAAAACTTGTATAATACATCTATTCAATAGTCACCTCAAATAAACACTTAATATAATTACACATAGCACGTATTTTATAGAAAATACATCATATCTAGGTGTAAGATGAAAGTGACTACACACTCACTTGATTTAATGATAATCGGGCAACACTTCGTTTCCTAAAACGATCGTTTCTAATAAAACCGGGTGTTTGGTATAATACCGGGGCTTTGGGGGAAGTTGGAATGAAAGAAATATTGATTAAGGGGTTAAAAATGACAAGTTTCCAAATTATCCCCGGGAGGTCTCGCACCCTTCTATTTATAGGGCGAGGCTTCTGATCGGACGGCTGAGAAGACTCCACGCGGCAGCATATCCGAAGCGAGGGCAGGTGGCTCGCACGTGTGAGGGGTGAGCTGTTGGCCTCTGATTGGACCGAGGTCTAGGTCCGAGGGTTCGTGTAACATCCGGATTTTCAGGTATGTTATTTTGAATTATTTATTTTTAAGGATCATTGATCTACTCGACGAGTTGGTGCTATAACTCGTCGAGTAGAAGCGGGGTAGCCACGTGAGTTTAATGAACTATTCGACGAGTCCAAGAGTAGACTCGCCGAGTAGGCGCTGTAAGTGGAAACCCTAAATCTTCGGGCCTGAGCCCTATTTAAAGGCACTTATGGCCTTCATTTGCGGCTACCATCCCAGAAAGAGAACCCCCATCGATCTTGAGTGTGTAGAGTGAGAGAGAGAAGGCCATTTGATCTTTTGGTGTGATTTTGCAAGAAAGGAGAGGAGCTCCAGCAAGAAGGATCAAAGGAGATTGCTATTCTGAGTTAGCCAAGCAAGGAGTTCACCTTGAGGTACCAAATCGGACCCCTCTCTCTCTCTCTATTGTATGTGTTTCATTATTTAGGGTTAGGGCTTGAATCAGTCCTTTTTAGGGGTCTTGGATGCCTCAAACCCCCTTCTTCGAGTTGTGTTAGAGATCTGGACCCTTTTGGGTCCAGGAAGTCCCAAGCATCCAGCTTTATGCATTTCCAATGGAGTTTTGAACCTAGGTTGCCATTTTAGGAGCTATTTCACCGAAAAGAGCCTTATGAGTGTTGCATGAGTATAAAGGTTGGACCTTTAAGTGACTTTTGAGGGTTGGAAGGCCAGATCTATAGATTAGAGAAGCAGATCTGACCTCAGGAGGTCGTTTGAGCATTTTCATGGAAGAAACTCGCCGAGTCCATGAGCGGACTCGACGAGTCGGATCGTGTTGCACAACGATTCGTGATCAGTGGTAACCGTTGAGAGAAAGGTTGACTCGACGAGTCGAGTGAGGCCTTAGAGGATTCAGAGGACACGTATGGACTCGCCGAGTCACCCGAGTGCACTCGACGAGTCTGGTCAAAGTTGGACCGTTGACTGGGGTTGACTTTTAGGGTTTGGTCAACATTTGGACATTGGACCATTAGAGGGGTAAAATGGTCTTTTCCCCTTCTGAGAGAATATATGGAGGGATTATTCTAGCCTTTGAGAGCCGTATTAATTAGAGATAATTATTTTATGTGATTAGGCGGAGGCTAGGGTAGATATTCGAGTTCGAAACTTTCCGAGATTTCCGAGGTGAGTCTTCTCACTATACATTACCTAGAGTGGTATCTATGTGCAGGCCGGAGGGTCTTATGTGTTATGTGTATGTTAAGTTTATGTGCATTATGATATATGTATGTTATGTGTTGTATAGACCGGACCGGAGGGTCCAACGATTTAGACCGGACAGGAGGGTCCAACGATTTAGACCGGACCGGAGGGTCCAACGAGCTAGACCGGACCGGAGGGTCCAACGAGCTACGGGACTGGAGGGTCCCGCTGAGACACTTTGACCAGAGGGTCATACCGAGTTATAGCCTCGAGTGGCTTATGTGTTTGTATGTGGTATATTGGGGAACTCACTAAGCATTTATGCTTACCGTGTTATGTGATATGTGTTTCAGGTACCAGCGAGGATTGCGGGAAGGCGCCGTCATGATTTGTACACACTGGCAGAATATTATGTTTTGAGATTATGGGATATGTTTTATTATGATGACATTGGATCATGGGATTCTGGGAATATTATATATGTTTTTATTATGTTGAAAAACGAAAAATTGTTTTTAAATTTTACGTCGTTACAAGTTGGTATCAGAGCCTTGGTTTGAGAGATTCGGATGCACCTCCGGGCGTATCTGAACTCAAACTGAGGATTGAGAGAATTTTTCATAAAAGAAACAATTTTTCTAAAAGAGTAAAAGATTTTTGAGAAAAGCAGAACGGAGCAATGTGTATAATCAACCAGCGCCCGAACGGTGATTTCCCAAAATACCCTTACATTATGTGTTATGAGATATTATGTGATATGTTATGCATGCTAGAGTAGGATAGGTATTCATGGTTAGGACTAGAGTGGGCCTGATTTGTGATGCCTTAGCCTAGGAGTTACTGCTACTATGAGATACTTCGAGAGTGAGTAGGTAGCAGCGAGGAACTTATGAGTGGTCTACCGGAGAGTAGCCTGAGTTAGTGAGATATAGAGTACTTGTGATCTGGGATCCTAGGAGGAGGACTTGGGGTGAATACTGATGCGTTGTGGAAGGTAGTATAGGGCCCGTACTACTGGAAACACCGGATCGGTGAGCAGTCCAAGTAAGAATCCTTAGGGTACTAAAGAACAAGTAGGGTTGAGTATCGAGTGCGAGTATACTCGAG